AAACCAAGTTCCAACATTTCAAGGTTTAAATAAAGTGTCGGGACAGTTTTTTTTTATTTAAAACAGGGTTGCATCGGGTTAGTTTATTTCTTTTGCGATGCAAAATAAGAAACACTAGGCTAATCTTATTCTTGCGACATTTTAAATTTGTATTGCCAAAGAAATGACAGCTATATTAAACAATTAAAACAGTAGGCCTACAAAACGAAAATTGTCCAAAGCAACATAATTAAATTAAAACATGCGTTTTTCTTTGCCTCTCTCGCGCTGAATCTCTTTTTAACAAGTTTATTTAGTCTCCCTCGCTCTCCATATGAGAGAGGAACATTAACACCTAGGCCTATTGTCCTGCGCGCACGATACAGCACTGAACTGTCCCTCCAACCCCCCACCGGCTATCGTAGTCTGAGGCTGACTTAACACAAAGAGAAGTCGCAATTCACACTTAAATCGCTATTCTAGACAGTGTTGATAATGAAGGAATTAAATGATTTAAGTTACATGTAGCCTAGTGATATTTCTGTCATAAAAGTTTATTACTAAATATTTCATTATTTCAATAATTGATGAAATAAAACTGGTTTGGGCCAGCTTTTTCCAAGCAAAACTAAATATAATCTGAAAAAACGAATGTTAATTTGTTGTCATGAACAAAATGTTCAACTCAATATTAAATTCTACAGGGATCTTTGGATCCTTTCAACCAGGCATGCAATTTGTGAATTAAGTTTTTTTTATTATTCAAATAAATATCGAACCACGGTGCTTCGTGGTAATGCTGCTAAATTAAATAACATGTATATAATAATTATGAACTTAAATGAAACAATATCGCAACATTTCGACAAATACATTATTTGATCTGTTTTTACATTTTAATTCAGGGCGATTTAGCCTGCTACATTTAATTAGAGCGAGATTTTCACCCTTGTCTTGTCATTTTCTCATTGGGAAGCGCTTACATAGGCTACATGTTTGAGTAGATCCTCTGTACCTCTCGTTTTCATATGGATTACATAATCAGATAACATTTATTAGCCTGAATATTTAGACATTTCAAGGCTTTAGACATAGCCGATTTCTTATAGTGACTGAGCTGAAGTGGCTTTCGGTTCATTTTTGTGACGCGCAGTTCCCGGAGACAGAGACGACAGATAAACTTTTGTCGTTAGCAAAAGTTCGAATAAAACCCGACTTTAGATAAATGCATAGGGCCACTCGGCGTGGTCTGCCAAAACACTTAATTATAAACTTCAATATTTCATTCAAAATAATCTCAAAACGCTTTGTGAAATTTTAAAAGCCGTGCATGCATTAAGGCCACTTGAACTAATGAACAACTGAAACGCTGGTTTTGATTTTATTGTTTGTCGTTTAAACGTGCTTGTTGCATATCTCTATTTTATATTTGATATGGTCTATTGGTGAAGTAGCCTATTGCATTGATTACTGTGGAGGGAGGGGTGGGGGATTCAAATAATTCAGCAGAAGCAGGGATGTTTAGACCAGAAGGAAATCCCCGTCCCCCCTGGCAAATCACACTTTACTTAAAACCATGTTTTTAAAAACTCACTGTAGGGAATCAAAAAATAATAATAATAGGCCTAATAAAAAAAATATATATATATAGGCTATATATATAAAATTACTTTTTTTACAGAACTGCTTTTGAAATTACGATTGGTAGCCTCGTACGATTGGTACAGATGCAAAGTCGTTCTGTTGGATACTATTGTTCCTTAGTGTAAAATGGAAATGCATGGTAATTTTATTTTATAAATATAAGCAAAAAACTGTATGGTGTAACAGAGTTTTAGAGCTAGACAAATCTCTCTGCATTAATAAATATAAAATTTACAGTAGACCATGTTTGTTCGGGATTTGAACCCGTGTCATCTTGATGATCGAACCGTAAGTTCTACCGCTCGGCTATGAATTTTCTCACTAAAAAATGCCCAAACGTTTGTTTCTCACATGAGCGAGAAAACGTTTTGTCGTTAGCCTGTGAGTGTAGGCCTACTTTAGCCTACATGAATAAAAGTAGACCTTTTACAGTTTTAAAAGATGATATCTTATCTGTATGACCAACAATTACGCAGTAAGTTCTTTTAGCTGTTATGAGAAAAATAAATTCAAATGAACGCGCCGCCGCGTTTGTCAAACTCTAATTCAACATGCCAGAATAAAGCCAGATTTTAGAATAATGCATAGCCACTCGGCGTGGTGTGCCAAAATACCCTAATTATAAACTTTAAAATTTCATTCAAAACCATCTCAAAACGCTTTGTGACATTTTAAAAAGCCGTGAATGTATTAAGGCCACTGGAACCAGGATCGTAACTGAAACGCGCTGCATGTTTCAATACAGGAAGCGCTGGTTCAGATTGTATTGTTTGTTGTTTAAACGTGCATGTTGCATATTTAAAAATATTTGTTTAAAAATAAATGTTTGTTGTAGGCTTATTTGTAAATTACCATAACTAGTAGAATTTCATCCTTACTGTTAATTGACATTAGCCCCACTTACGTTTTGATAAATGTCCCTTTGCGCCACCTGGCGGTCATTTCGCGAGCGACTTTGAAATGCGACTGGTTTATTTTTATTGTATTGGTCTACTTTAAAAAAATAATACTTTATAACACATTTATGGGAAAAGACTATTTTCTTTTCAAGATGTTTCCAACTGTAACTTTGAGCCAATTCTGTAGAATGGCCCATATAGCATTTGACCAGGATTTGTTTCCAGGTATGTCTAAAAATGTGGTTTTGGCTTTCATTTATATTTTGATTGTTTGTATATATATATATATGTGTGTGTGTGTGTGTGTGTGTATATATATATATATATATATATATATGTGTAGGCTATATATATATACAAGAAAGAATGCAATGACAATTTATATATATATTGTCCTTGCATTCTTTCTTGTGTGACACCCCTGAATGAAAGGCTCATTATTATGCAGGGTCACTGTCTGAGAACCACTTAATTATTCATGATAGGGGTTGGCCCGTTCCGCCCATCCGCATATTGCCTTGGCAAACAAAAAAATGTTTTTCACAATTTAAAACAATCTATTGTTTTATGTGAATGATTAGGAAGGATGATTTTCAGATCATTTTGAAGCAAAAACTCTAGGCGACAACGTACATTAGTCAAAAGTCTTGTGGACACATATTTAGTATGTTTTTTGTGTCCTTATTTCAAAAACTTTATTTTTTAGTTTTTTCAATAACCACGCATAAACAATATTCTCTCAAAAATACAAACATGTACATACATGTTGCTCACACATTATGGTAGCCCTGTTTGTGCTAAATAGAGTGTAATTTCACCTGTGCCATTAATATGTTTATAAGCAACTGAAAAAAGCAAAAATGTCAGAGCATGTCAAAACATCTCAAGGACCCCAAAAACACCTTGGTCCCCAGAGGGTTAATCTAATGCAGTAAATGTACAATACATACTTCCCCAATAAGGTGCGAGTTTGGTCTTTTATATCACTGTAGTCCATTAAGCTACGTTAAGCGTTTTGTCCTGACGGAAGGGGAATCTTTGAGTATGATGAGGTATTGAGGGAAACCGATTATAATCCCGTTCATGGTAGAAAAAGCTGATAACATGTAAGGCTACACAGGGAAAGTAACAATGAATGAAACATAAAAACAGCTTTTGTGCCTTTATCATCTTTTCTGCATATATACTGACCCAGATAATCGTCACAAAAAACGTATTGCATGCTCAATTGTTGTAAATGAGTTTTTATGAATGAATGGCTTTCTCTAACTGTTGCTCTGGTCTTCGTCAACAACACACGCTTGCACCCCCTGCTGGTGAGGTCGACTAACAGCAGATGGAGATTATGCTCTGTAATCTACTGCTTTTCCTGCAGCTCCTGGATGTCAACGTTGAATTTACTGTCGAATTTGAACCACTGAATTTGTGGAAGCGAATTTGCAAAGCGAAATAAAATGGACCGAAACCCGCCTGTTGAATATTATAGGTTGTATTTTTAAACAGTTTGAATATTTTGGAAGTGAAATATGAAAGGTGAATATGGATTATTGAAATTTTACTAATGAAAATGTGTTTGAAATGTTTGGAATTTAAATATTCACAGCTTAAATATTCAACCATGCTAAATTTCAGCCTATAAAAATGTCAAGTCAAGTCAAATATATTTATATAGCGCTTTTCACAATACAGATTGTATCAAAGCTGCTTCACAGTATCAATCAAAACAACTTAACAGTGTTTGTTTATTACTGGGAAAAGACATCCAAGTTTGGTAGAGCTGATCAGTGGTATGATGGGTCATTTAATTTGAATATCCCCAACTGAGCAAGCCAAAGGCAACAGTGGCAAGGAACCGAAAAACTCCATCAAGTGACCCGATGGTGTCCTAAAACTCCATCAGATGACCCAATGGAGAAAAATGCAAGCCCTAAAAATACAATGCATTAAAATACAAGCAGGGTTAATGCAATGCATATATTTTTTTTCAAGTAGGCCTAGTACAATTCAACAGGCTTTTTGTTTCAAAAACATTTGGCATTATTTTACTTCCATAATTATCAGTAATACCTGCTTGTGATCTTGTAAGCACGTTAGTTATTTATCATGTTTATCCATTTGAATCTTGTAGAGAAAGAGTTTACATTGTGATTTTATTATTTTTGTATTATTCGTACATGTTATTTCTAAGAGGTTCGAACTGTGAGGGTGTGTCGAGCAGATTTGATGTATTTACAGTGTGACTTTGCAAAAGACTAACCCGGATTAGACATTAAACAAAAAAAACAAACAAAAAAAATATCACCAGTTCACCAGAAAACCTTTAGAAATCTTTTAATGCAAAACAAGTGTTAGAAGTTCAGTAAAGTTGAATCATATCATTATAAATCATGTTACAGCGGTTGAGAAAAGAGAAGGGCAACACCAAACCATTACCAGATTTAAACTTCACTACTAATTTAACCCTTAGATTTAATTAAAACAATCTGAATGTCAATTTATTTGTAAGTACAATATTTGTAAATCATGGATGTGAATGTGAACTTTGCTCACTTAGACGACTTCAGGCAATGCTTTTTCTCATGATACCATAGAGTAGAGGATCGGGTGAAACTCTTTCCACATGAAGAGCACTCGTACGGCTTCTCTCCAGTATGAACTCTCTCATGATCTTTCAGGTTTCCTAAATAAGCAAATCTCTTTTCACAGTGTGAGCACTTGTACGGTTTCTTTCCAGTATGAACTCTCTCATGATCTTTCAGGTGTCCTGACTGAGCAAATCTCTTTCCACAGTGTGAACACTTGTACGGTTTCTCTCCAGTGTGAACTCTATGGTGTTTTCTTAAGTTGCTGGATGAAGTGAAGGTCTTCCCACAGTCAAAGCACACATGAGGTCTCACACCAGTATGAATACTCTCATGCTCTTTTAAAGCTTGTAGTCGTGAAAAACTCTTTCCACAAAAAGAACAAAAGTGAGGCTTCACACCAGTATGAACCTTAAGGTGTCTTCTTAAGTTTGATTCCACAACAAATGTTTTATCACACTGATCACAGCTGAATGATCTCACTACAGAGTGACGGCGCAGATGAACACCGAGATAGCCTTTATGACTGAAACTCTTTCCACACTGAGAGCATGTGAACGGTTTTTCTCCAGTGTGAATCATCATGTGTTTCTTAAGGCCTGATTTTTGTGTGCAAGTCTTTCCACACTCAGAGCAGGTGAAAGATCCTTCTCCAGTTTTTCCAGCTCGTTTTTGTGGGAAACACTTTTCGGTCTGTTGAATGACTGTGTTTCCATCTTCATTTTTGAAATGCTGTGGATTTTGAAACTGATGTTGTTTGTCTTTATTCACTTCCATCGGGTCTAAAATCAACAAATGAAATTTTCAAAATTCAAATAAAGATTGAAAAATGAAAATACATGTATTAGTATAAATAATAAATAAGCAAAAATGCAATCATTTTTTTCAGTTTTCATCATAATGTCCCTCAACAGTCATTAAAGAGAATGAAGGAAAACACCAACCTATTTGTTCCTCTGTATCTTCATCTTTTATTCTGCAGGGTTCTTCCTTAATCTCCATCTTTACAATCGTATGTCCGTAGTTTCTCCTGGAGTAATTCCTCCTGCTTGCTTCTTCTCCTGTGGGAAGATGGGAATATTCCCCAGCATTTAAACTCTCATGAACGGCTGTGGGAGCTTCACTGACTGAAGGAGTGAATTGTGGTCGTTGTTGCTCATTTAGCAGATGATCATCACACTTACAATCACTCGAGATTATCCAGGTGCAAATGTTTTGCTCAAATAGTCGTTTAGAAATAATTCCATTTTTTTCATCAGAACACAATATATGAAACAAAAAAATCATGTCTTTTAAGTTTAAATGAAAAAGAAATAAAAGTATTGAAAAACTATTAATAACATATATGTGCACACATTTAAATCCACAATCATACATAATGCAAACCAATGATGGAAATAAGCTCAGTTAGAACAGAAAAGATTGTGATTATATTGTATATCAATAGAACGTCAAACTTGACAATTAATCGAAACTAGTTTGCACATATTTCATAATATAACAGTTTAAAGTTCAATTCAAAATTTAATATAACAATATGAACTAATCTTTAAACAAGGATGTGTGAAATAATGATATGTTAGGATAATTCTTCCCAGAATGTTTTAATACTTTCTTTAAACCGACAGGAAAACAAATAATGAAGTTATCTTCTCAAAAGCAGTGTTATTATCAGAAATGAGCTCTATATTTCAAGGACTGTTAAACTATCAATTCTTCAATTAAGTTAATAGAAAAGCTGAATGAATATTGATGAGGGTTTATTTGTCAGGATTCAGGGGAGACCCAGACGCAGAATGAGCAAGGGATTGATATTTATTAACAGAAAACCATACAAGAAAGGGTGAGGCAGGAACAGCCCAAACAGAAGAGTCAACAGGACACAACGACAGGACAGCTGTGGGTGACTTGTTACGACCCTATGGTTTGTATTTTGTTATCTCTGTTGTTTTGAAAGTCTCTCAGTGTGTCTGTTTAGGAACGTCATCTGATTGGTTCCTGCAGGATGATTGGAACGCCCATCTGATTGGTTCCTGCACGATGATTGCTGCTCGATCCTGATTGGTGCAGCTTGTTTTAAAAAGAGACATCACTTCCTTTACAGGAAGTCAGGAGATATTGTGTTTTGAGCAGAGAGAGAGTTTGTGATTTGAGTGTTAAGAGTATTGAGACTGTGAGTACTGTTGGTTTATTTGTTTTGAAAGCTGTTTGTATCTGAATATCCTCATTGGTATATTTGACCCTTTGCCTGTTTACCGACACTGATTTGGACTGCCCTTTTCAGTTTGTTTGCCTGGTTGTACATATTGTAAATACTGATTGATTTTTGGGAAAGTAGGGAGCTCGACCCCATTTTCTTTATTGTAAACTGTTTAATCTCTGTTTTTGGTTAGGGAGATAGGTTTATTGATTGTATCTTCATTTTTTTTTCTTTTGGGTTAAGGTTTAGGAAAGAGGTTTAAATTTAAGGTTGTTTTGTTTGTTATTTTGGCTTGGTCAGCTCCTGAATCTCAAGTCCCAAATTAAGAAAAATAAATAACTGTTTGTTCCAATTCCTCGCTCTTCGTTGACTCTTTCATGTTGCCCCTTTCCCCCTAGACGGGGTGTAACAGACTGCAGCAACCAAGTCCAGAGGACGACAGGTCAAAGAACTGCTTAGGACGTGACCAGGCCAGGCAGATGTTGTGGTGAAGACAGGGCAAAGGAATCATGAAGCAGAGACACTTGCTGGACACAGACCCTAGACCAGTCTAACTGCCAGGCAGAAGGAACCAGCAGACAGGAGCCAACACAAGACAACAAGAGATAACAAAAACAAGAGCTAAATAAAACGGCAAGAACTAGAACACCAGAAAAGAATAAGAAACTAAATATAACTGGAGCAATAGCAAGGGAAAAATAAAATAAAGTTATACAAATGAATAACTGGAACTAGTAAAAAAAAGAAATAAACCAAGACTGCAAGCAAGCATGAAGACAAGCTAAAGAGAATATAAATAAAAGATTAGTTAACAAAAGCAAAAACAAGAGGTGAACCAAAATAAAGCCTGGAAGAACTAGAGCAAAATAAAGACTAGGATTTGACTAGACTAAAAAATCAGGAACAAAGAAAATACTAAAACCTAGACCTGACAGAAACACTAACTGTTGCACTGACAAGCTAAGCAATAACACACACTGAACCAGCAAAGACATGAGGTAAATGAGCACAATATAATGGGAACAGCACATGAGGATCAGGTGAAAACAATCAAGGAAACGAGGACTAGACAAGGACTAAACAAGGGGGCGCGGTAACGGGAAACAAGGAGGCGGAACAAGAGCAGGACATGGAAAACACAAACAAAGACAGAGCCATGTGCTGACACACAACACAAACATAGAGACATGAAACAAACACAACACAGACAGCTAAACTTTAAAAAAGGATGTGTGAAATAATGATACGATGTTAGGTTAATTGTTCCCAGAATGTTTTACCCACATAGCAAACAGACTTGGCCCAAATGTGGCCTCATCATGGCACTGCTGGCGTGTTGCCGGCACTGGCATGCATCATGTCAGCCAACTGTGGGCCAAGTGTGGCAATGATGGCACTGCGTGCATGACGGCAGACAACATTTGGGCCGATTGTGGATGGGAGGTGTGTGGCCCAGATCATGTCAGCCAACTGTGGGCCAAGTGTGGCAATGATGGCACGTATGACGGCACACAACATTTGGGCCGATTGTGCATGGGAGGTAAGTGGCCCAGATCAGTGTAGCGATTATGGGCCATACTTTGTGTACTGGACAATTATAAGCCTGCTACTATATTTTCAAGGCAAGATTATCATGCCCCCCCCCCCCCCCGCCCTAATAGTATTTAGTTTTCAGCAATGTTCACAAAATTTAGTAATCATTAAAAAAATATACATTTACTAACATGATAATTTAGTTTTTTAAAGTATTGTTATTTATTTTAATTTGTTTTTATAAATTTGTAACTAATCCACATGAAAGTCTACGTTTTCCATACTTTTTATTTTAAGCACCACAAAATCATGTTAAAAACTTAATATCTATATTTTTTTCTAAATAACAGTTTATTTCAAACAACTGCAGTCAACTATTGTTTTGTTTTTTTGGCGCGATCTCCACGGTAACAGCAGCTTTTCTGGTTGGTGAATGAGGTTCACGTGATGCGTCGGTTGAAATTTCTCCCGCTGAAGGTTGAAGAAGATATCTCAGACAACCGCTGTTCAGGTAAGTGAAGTTCACTCTCTTTTTGGCGCTTTTTTTAATACCTGATTTCAAACTCGGATGCCACTTTTTTCTTTATTGAAGTGAACTTTTGCCTATATGGTAGCTGATCCAGCTGCCCCTGAACATGAGAATGTCAATACAGACGCGAACGGGGTGCGATAGACCGGCCTGCGGAATGTCCGAGGCGGAACAATGTAACAGTTAACGTTAATGCTGTTAAAATGATAGGAAAATCACAGCAAATTCAGCAACCGCAATTGACTTATATAGCTGAAAGTGATTCAATGGTTGTATAATGAGATTGTATGATATCTAAATCTAATCTTTGACTTAAAGATTATTACTTTTGTTTTAGCTAAACATTCTTAAAACAATAAGACAGCTATTTTTTTTTTTTTTTTTTTTTTAGCATTTTACATCAGTCATGTTGAATCAAATCTGGATTAAGTTAATCATTGTTTAACATGAAAAGGACATGCTCCATGTTTTTTTTATTTGTGATCACAGAGGCCTGCTTATTTCTTTTTGCTAGTCATGTATTGCTAGACATCTCATTCCCATGTGTGCCATATTTGTAGGCGATTGAGAGAAAAATAAATATACTGTACTATTAAAATATATACATTGAAAGAATGAAATTGATCACATACTTTTTTTTGTTGTCTAAAACAATAGTTCTCAACCTGGGTAATGTTTAGAGGTCACATCTAGGAATGCAATAAACAATTGGCCACTTATGGAAAAACTGAACCAGGAGCTAAACCTAGTAACGTACCATTGATGGATGGCAATGTTTTTCTTCCAACATATTGGACTATATAAAATTTTCTTTTTTTTCTCTCCTTTCATATTGTTTAATTATTGATGATATGTCTGTTGCTCCCCCTTCCCTGTCTGTTTGTTTGAGTGGATGTTATTTTATTTCTAAAGACAATAAAGAGTTGATCACATCACCAAAAAAAAAAACACTGAACCAGGAGAACAACCATACAAGTGGCTAATATTATCCTATGAAATTAAAGGGAATGTAATAATTATGGTTAAAATAATTAAATATAAAATATTTAGATGCGGATATAAATTGATTGATAAAAACAATGAAATTAAAGTTACTTAAAAAGATGGGAAACTCTGGCCTAAAAGCACTTACTTTCCATGATCTAACAAAATTATTAATAACAATGAGTTTTAGAGCTACATTAGTATCCTATATTGGTAAATCTGGAATAGTTGACATATTCAATGTTAATCTTTTTTTCTTTTTTTACAGGACTGTGCTTGGGCAAGAAAACTTGACAGACTGTTGGTATGGCTGGTAATTGGAGTTACAATGAGAGGAGCAATGTGAGAAGAAGGGCATTAAAAAAAGTTGATGAACTAATACAGACAATAGATAGTGAGTGTAGCAGGCAAGAGTTTGAAATAAATTATGCAGAGAGCTTCAATGATGAAACTTCTGTATGGTTTGAGGAGGAGTTTCAGGGCAGCAGAGATATTGGGAATGAACAGATTCCAAAGGATAGGTTTCTGTCTGATGAGGAGGAAATGGATCATAGTGATGCATGCAGTGACACTATTGATGACTTGAAGGATTCTCTTGCTGACTGGGCCACTGAGTTTAGCATTCCCCTGATTGCGTTATCAGCCCTGCTCTGCATTTTACAAGTTCACCATCCCTCTCTGCCAAAAGATGGGCGAACATTACTTAAAACAAAAACAGCATACAAAATAGAAACTCTATCAGGTGGAATGTTTCACTACTTTGGAATACTAAGCTCGTTTCATGGACTGTTGAATAAGATGTGGTCTGTTGTCCCAGATAGACACTTATTTAAATTACAGCTGAATTTTGATGGCCTACCCCTGTTCAAAAGCAGTAGTACTCAGTTTTGGCCCATTCTTGGTATGTTGCAGGGGTACAGTGAGAAACCAGTGCTGATTGGTCTTTTTTGTGGCAACACCAAACCAAAGTCTTTGCCAGAGTATTTGCAACATCTGGTGAGTGAATTAAAGTCACTGAGCAGTGGGTTTGTTTTTCAGGGAAAGAGGTTCTTTTTGAACATCTGCTCTGTTGTATGTGACACCCCAGCCCGAGCCTTTGTCAAAGGAGTGAAATCACACTGTGCATACCATGGATGTGACAAGTGTCACCAAATTGGTGTCCGTATAGGACATCGAATGACATTTCCTGATTTAAGTGCAAGGCGTAGAACAGACGAATGCTTTAGACAAAATACAGATGTAGAACACCACCATGAACACTCACCTTTAGCTGACCTTAATATTGACATGGTTGCCAGCTTCCCTTATGATTACATGCACTTAGTATGCTTAGGGGTTATGAGGCGTCTGCTTGATTTGTGGATGGGTCCTCCTGGACCCCTGCGTTGTCGTATGTCAAGCAGTCAAGCTTCCTTGATTTCAGAGAGACTACTTTCATTGAGGGATTACATTCCTTCTGAGTTCAATAGAAGACCACGTACACTGGCTGAAAAAAGTAGGTGGAAGGCCTCAGAATTTCGTCAGTTCCTGCTGTACACTGGACCTGTTGTACTGAAGGATGTGTTAAAGTCTCAAATATATGACAATTTCATGCTTTTGTCAATTGGCGTACACATATTACTGAGTTCAAAATATTGCTTGACGATGAACAATCTGGCCAATTCTCTTTTGGTATCTTTTGTTGAACATTTTGGTCAGCTTTATGGACAAGAATTTTTAGTTTACAATTTTCATGGTTTGGTCCATCTTTGTGAAGATGTAAAAATCCATGGTAATTTGGATTTATTTTCATCTTTTCCATTTGAGAATTTCTTGGGTCATCTTAAAAAATTGGTTAGAGGCCCACGAAATCCTTTGACGCAAGTGATCCGCAGGTTGTCTGAAATTGATGAAGCCAGCTCCAACTGTAATCTTAATGCACAGACATCCAAAGATTATAAATCGGAACATACTGAAGGGCCAGTACCACAATTTTTCACGGGAGAAGCAAAACAGTTTAAAGTGTTGTCCATTGATGGTGCAGTGATCAAAACTACAAATAGAGATTCCTGCATCAAAATAAAGAACAAGTTTGTGTTGGTTGAAAATATTATTGTTGATAGGGGAGTGGAATATTTTGTCGGTAGGGACTACAGATGCAAGGAATCATTCTTTAAATACCCTTTTGACTCTACAGAGTTGGACATCTTCATGGTTTCTAACTTGTCTTTGACAGTGAAACATTTTCAGAGAGTGGAGAGTGTGCAAAAATATGTCAGACTGCCATTTCATGACAAGTTTGTTGTCATACCTTTGCTGCATTTAAACAAACCACACGGCAGCTATTGATTTACATTATACTTAAACATTTTTTGGTAGCATGCAGTTGTTTATGGGTCCATTAAATCTGCAGTTTATATTTTGTTGCTTTCTTTGTATCTGCGGTAAATGTTGTGTGCAATTACAGTTCGCAAAAATAGTCTCTCTTCTCACATTATCCACTCAAAAGTGTTCCTACAGATTATTTCGAAAAGGCATACAAATGACTAAATTACCATTTTATTTTGTTTAGACAATGTATCACATTGTGATTTTTGAAAAAACGAATGAAGTAGAAGTGGTGCCTTCCAACTGGGTCAAAGAAAATGAATGTATGTGGCCACCAAATAAAGTGGATGTTGTAAAAGCCACAAAAAATAAGGAGCAACCTGGGGAAGGATGGACTCCACACAGGGTCAGAATTATATTTACATCGAGTAAGTATTACTTTATAGATTGTGTGTTGAGATGTTTCGGATACGTTGGCCATATATATATATATAATATATAATTATTGTAATCTTTTGTAGAGAGTTACAGTGAGGCAAGATTAAAACTACCTGAAGCTGTCGAACACACAGACCTTGCAACAGATGGGGAGGATTCCCCAATTAAACCCAAACGAAGAAGAATGTAGGTTGTCTTTATTTGTAATTTATGATTATATTTAGTCAGTGTATTGTAAAATGTGGCAGATATGCAAGTAACAAAGTGATTCTTTAGGCCAAAGAACCTACTTTTTCCTGGAGAAGATGAGGATGAAGAAATCAGTGTTGATCAGTCAAAAGATAATGGAAAGAAAAGGTAAGTTTCCATAAATTTTATTCTTTTGGTTTACTTATTTCTTACAGAACATATAGCTTATTTCTCTTTCTCTGAACAGAAAAGAAGAACTGCCTAGACCTCCGAAGATCTTTCACTCAGTTTTTTCTGACTCCCAAAGGATGCAGAAGACTGGTTCTACTCAGAAGTCTGTGTTGGCCAAATCTAAGCCAACAAAATTGTAAGCAGTATAAGTTGTTATTTTGAGTAAGGTAATTGATTAATTTAACTTAACTTGTGAAAATGCCTAAAATGCTCTGTTCTAACTTTCTTCAAACCCCTACATAGTTTACCAAATATCCCTCCAAATTCCCAAAGTCATCATACTTCTATTGTACCTAAGAGGACCCACACACATTCTGACCAGTCTCGAAGAAACCACACAACTGCTGATCCACTTGAGAGGAGCCGCACTGCTCCTAACCAGCTTCAGAGATTCCACACAAGCTGTACTTCTCCCAACTTGTCTGACAATGATTGCACTCCACCTGACCTGCTTCAGAGATGCCACGCTTCCCCTGATTCACGACAGAGAAATAGTGCAACTGCTGAGCCGTTTCAGAAGGTCCAGACTTCCTCTGATCCACTTCGAAGAGGCCACAAAACTTCAGACTCATTTCAGAGAGGCCGCATTTCCCCTGATCCGCTTCAGAGAAGCCACTCAACTGCTGAGCCGTTTCAGAAAGTCCACACTTCCCCTGACCCACTTCAAAGAAACCATGCAAATGCTGACCCGTTTCAAAGCAACACTTCCCCTGACCTGCTTCAGAGAAGCTGTATTTCTCCTGACTTGTTTGAGAGAGATTATACTCTCCCTGACCATTTTCAGAGTCACTTTCCCCCTGACCCACTGCAAAGAAGCTGCACTTCCCCTGATCGGCATCAGAGAGAGAATGTTTACCACCAGCCACAAGGACTATTAAGACATCAAGCTGTTCTTGATACTTGTAAGTATTTGTTTATTTGGAAATGTGTACTATCGTGTGCCACTTTTACATATTGTGTACCATATGGACTTAGGGGGTTTATTTCAGTTTCTTGCTTTTGTTTCAGCCCTCCTGCGTAACATTCTCACAAATCAAGAGATCATGATGGACCAAATGAAGATAATCTATAGGACAGTTCAGGGTCTAAAATCTGTCAGTGAAGAAGACATAGGCCTTGAGGCAAACCTACTGCCAGTAGCTGATCTTCAGTCTCTGCAAAACTTGGAGGAGAGATTGAGAAAATCTCCTGACTTTCAGAAGCAATTGGTAAGCCAGTTATATTCAAGATATATATATGTTTTGCTTACTAATATATATATATATATAGTATTATATTATATTATTTTTGTTGTTGTTGTTTTATAAAGGAAGTTCAAACAAAAGTGAAAATTTACAACTTACGCTTGGATGAGTTGGTTTCTTTTTATGAACACAAAGAAGACATTTGGAGGAATGTTGGTAACCAGACAGTCCAAAGTAACATTGGTTAAAAAAAAAAAGCCAGTGGTTACCATCTACTGTCTGGTTAAAGGATTAGTTCACCTCAAATTGAAAATTTCCTAATAATTTAATCACCCCAATGCCATCCAAGATATCCATGTCTTTCTTTCCTCAGTGGAAGAGAAATTATGTTTTTTGTTGGAAAACTTTTCTAGATTTTTCTCCACATACTGGACCTCATAGTTACCATCATGTTGCGGTCAGAATCGATGCAGTTTCAAAGGTCTTTGAAGAGTTTCAATGGGCTAGTGAACGATCCCAGCTGAGCATTAGGGGCTTATCTACCGAAACCATCGGTCATTTGAAACAATATATATATATATATATACTTTATAAGCGCAATTATTCGTCTATAGCCATTTTACCAAGCACCAGGAACGACCTCATCACTTAAAAGTCACGCTCGACGCCCCACTGTTTACAAACGGTACTTCCATCTGGGCACTTCCGCTGGGACTTCGAGCGTGACCTTTCAGTGATGATGTAGTTCCTGGTGCTTGGTATGCCGACTCAAGACGAATAATTGTGCTTATAAAGTGTATAATACATTTTTTTTTTTATGGCCGATCGTTTCAGAAGATAAGCCCCTAATCCTCAGCTGGGATCGTTCACCAGCCCGTTGAAGCTCTTCAAATACCTTTGAAACTGCATCGATTCTTTCTGACCGCAAAATTATGGTAACCATTGAAGTCCAGTCTGTGGAAAAAAAATCCCAAAATGTTTTCCTACAAAAACGTACTTTCTCTTTCACTGAGGAAAGAAAGTCATGGATATCTTGAATGGCATTGGGGTGAGTAGATTATTAGGAAATTTTCATTTTGATGAGGTGAACTAATCCTTTTACAACATAAAAAAAAAAAAAAAAATCTGCTGTGTTCAACAGAAGAAAGAAACTCATACAGGCATGGAACAAGTGGAGGTGAGGAAATGATGGCAGAATTTACATTTTTGGTTGAACTATCCCTTTAGTTGATAATTGCCATTTTATTTGAATAATTAATTAAATAAAATGTTAATTCACAGATTAGCCTGTTGGCAATGAAAGGTGGGACAGACACCAGAGATGGAGTTTGGAGAATTATGACTGCAACAATCACAAACTCCCTGGCCAAGAATATAAATATGCGTGGTGTTAATGGGAAGATCAGCTTTAAAAGCTTGCAGTTACGAAACATTGTTCTTGGTAAGTCTGTTGTCTAATTCATTTTTTTAAATTGTACAGTCTAAAACATTTTTTTTGTATGCCCAGTACTTCAATTTTTTACAACTGTTATCATAACTCTATCATAATATACGTTTTACATGTTCATTTGTGCATACAATTGCAAATAAATAATGCTACTAATACATGCATTTGATATTTGTAGGAGGTCATGTTAGTTTAAATTGACCAATGCAATAAGTAAACAACTGTTTAAGAGTATTAAATTTTTTTTTTTTTTTTTTTTGGTGAAAATAAGATGTTATGCTTTGAATGAGTTACATTATCAGTACTTCAACCGTTCATTGGTTACTTTTTACACCACAGTTTCCATATATAAATATTTTTTAAGGTTTTTGTTTGCTAAAATGGTCTTGTTTGTCAAAATAATGTTGTCAAAGTCTGACAGGCCAGTTAGTCAATCAATAGTGCCACATAAGCAATCATCTCCTGTATAAAATGTAACTAAAGCAACCTTTTTTTAATTTGTTACCTACATTTATGTACAGTAGGTGGATGAATGTTTCTATATGTATGTTAATTTTGTATTATTAATTTAGTATTTTGTTTTTTAGCTGCTTTGAGAAAAAATTGCCTCACACAGCATGCCACTGAGCAAGAGGTAGAATCAACTGTAAGGGGTATACAGTCAAAGACCCAGAACCAGATATGAAGAATGAAGACCCGGAGTCAGAATTATAAAAAATTAAAGAAAAGTTTTACTGAAGATAGTTTGCATTTTCATCAGCAGAAGTCAGCTTCAAGACTCACACAGGAGTTCGTAGGCCGCCTCCCTTACAGTTACAAAGATCACAGCAGTTATACCATTTCCAAGGTCTAAGCTACGTCATTGCTTACAGGTTGAATGATTCTCATTGGCTAAGAAACATTAAAGCCTAAACAATTTAACACATGTGAGGAGATAGGGGTGCCTATCGCCATTAGTAAAGATAGTTGTCGTCCACTCATTGGATTTAGGCCTGTGGTGGCCTCGCAGGTTAGAGAAGGGCGCCGGGGTGTCTGGTCCGACCGTCCAGAACCTACATAGAATGTCATACGCACACACACAAATAACAGACACTAGCAAATAACAGCTCCCATCAAGGCTGAAGAGAGTCTGAGCTCCTTATTATCAGTTAAGTATACCAAAACATACTGCTAAAACATTCACTCGTTTGGGAGAAAAACAGATCACTGGCATTTACTCCCAAGGAAGGAAATATACTGGAAAGAATACATTTTAATACAACAATTAAAGTTTGATAGTAACGCTCAATATAGCTTGACCATATGTCCAACGAAGGATCATATGTGCCCACGCTGCCTTTAGGACCCTCTAACCTTTCTACTGATCCCAGAGAAAGAGACAAACGGCCTTGTGGGTTACGTGGCCTTCGTGTCCTGCGTGTACTACGTGCAATCTCAAAGTAAGATTGGGATGCACCTAAAAGAAACTGGTTACTTGCATCCATGCATTTAAGAAAATATAATTTCACAGGCACAAGAATATAAAAATTATTATGTGATAATGAATATATTTGATTATTGATTTTTATAAAGGAAGTATATAACCATTCAAAATGATATATGATTATATATGTATTTGAAGAGGCAAGGGATTTTGACCAACCCTTCAGTCCCCCGTTTTAGACCAATGTGGGGTCCAATACCGCCACGTCTGGTCTAACCAGTGAGGTCACTACGGAAGGGAGGAGTGGTGACGCATGCTCCCCTGACGGGTCACACTTGTCTCTTCACCTCGTCACGGACATGCTGGATACTAAAAATTCCAGTCCCCATTAAGAGGCTCTCCCACCTTCCACTCACAACAGGACATCAATGTCATTCTTCCTCAGTTTATCAGTCAGGTTAAAATTTTTATAAAACACATAACTGATTACGAAACAAGTACATATTTTTTCTTTGGAAGCCAGGCTAAATAAGCAAGCACTATTGCTGTATTCCTAGCATGGGCTAGATCCACAGTCACTACTCAGATCCTAAATAAAGACATTGTCTATAATCATGAATACCAGAATATATGCACTAGTTTTTTTATTTTTTTTATAAAATTATGATTTCCAAATCCTTTTATTATAAACAAAGTTGGATGGTTAATCCATTATTTTCACTACCCCTTTTATAGACCCTTTAGGTTCAAAACAGAATGGTTGTCTAACTAAAAATAAACAACAAACAATAAAATATTAATAATTAAGACCCATAATAATCGATGTAAGCCCTTTAAGTCTTTACTGAAATCATCCTTCAGTTTACAGTCACCTAGCATGTACCATTTTAATTGTATAACATCTTATACCCTTTTTTGTTTGTTTCAAAAAATAGAAATGAAATAAAACAAATTCACATCATCATTTCAGTCATTATTTTACCACTAAAATATAGGATCGTTCCCCATTCTGCTTAATAAAGCTTTTGTTCATTCCTTATCCTTATATCACTTGAATCCCTGTCAATCATACAATGTCTAACCCTAACCTTTTTCATACCATTTAAACTTAATTTGACTTCCATAAATCCTATCAGAAATTGTATTTTCATAACATACATTTTCTTCTACTATATTTCTTCCATCTTGCCCTACATGCCAGTTCCTTCTGCATCCGAGTCTCTCACCACTGTCAGCCTAGTGACACTTAAAGTTCCCTCGTTAGGGGAATCATGGTATTTTATTAATTCTTCAATACTCTTGTTTTCTTATCATTAACTTCAACTTTATTTTTCATTATAACTACTTCTCACAGTATTTGTCTCAGTTCCACTTATCTTTACAGTTTTACAGAAACCAAAATATTATGTTACTCAGATCCCAGCCCACAGCCATATAGCTGCTTTCTCTTTTTACCTTTATTAAATTGTAGTTTTCTTAGACATCTAATGTCATACATACATTGAAGGGATTGAGAAATAAAACCTTTTCTTTTTAGAAGTTATATTCACTCCTTCTTTGTTCGCCCTCCGGCCTTTCAATAAAAAATGAGGGAGCTCACTCTGGATAATTTGGATAGTGACTTAGCCAATGTGTCACTTTGTCTCTCTGCCGTCAAGTCTATATATATATATATTTTTTTTTTTTTACGTTTATCCTTATGATCCCACCTAGTTGTCTATTTAAATTTAGACCCTCAGTTGAATTTAGACAAGAGTTTTACCCCAGAATGGACGGCAATCTTCTTTACAATTCCAATTTATATAAAATACTAATCCAGAGAGTAATTCAGTTCAATATCATAAATGACAAAAGCATTCATAATTACCAATAGCAGACAGAGCTGGAAAACCACTCCAATTAAAGCTCGTCCCATGTTCTGCATTGTCTTTTCATCAGATTGACTTAGAATTATCAACTTTTCTAAAGTTGGTCATTTCACTTAACCCATCTGTAATGATAAAACACTAATTCCGGAGGTTAATGACACAATATCCTCAAAATCAGGAAATAATAGTACCCCAAACTAATACATACAAGACATAAAGTGCTGTCACCATCACACGCACTCATACTAGACACACATATGTTAACTGTTCATTTTCAATGTTCATTTTTCTTTATATTATTGCTAAAAGATTTAAATTTTAAATAAGATTTTAAACTTCCCATTTTCCGGTAGCTTCTACCTAATTTTACATGGTCTCCCAACCAGTTTCAAAGCATGTCTTGTTCATTATTCATTAGAATTTAACAAGGTCAGCTGGGTTGTTTTGTTTCATTATCATTATTTTGCTTCAGCTTGCTCTAGCAGGCCGATAATGGAAAGACAGACACAGTTACCATCCCTTCCTCTGCTCAAGCAGTCTCTCTCACTATAAATAAATTTCTAAGACTGTAACTTATATAAAATGTAATATTAAATTCGTTACAATAATCTTTGACCATTCACCTTGTTATCCAGACTTTTCTCAAATCTACAAAAGCTGTCTTCATCTTTAGCCACCACCATGTCTAACGACCTTCAGGAGTTAAAACTATGTCATAGACCTATTAGTTCAAAATCAACACTATGATTTTCCTTGCCCATAAGGCAAACCAGTACATAAAAAGTTTTGCTACTGTCTCCACAACAACTAATGGGAATCACTTCATGGCCTCAGCTGGCTCTTGAAAGCCCACTCCTGTTAGCCCTTTATCTATAATCTCCATCAGGGTGTTTTCCCCTGGCATATTTGCAGACGCTTGTCACAATAAAAAAAAAACAAGCCATACAATGAATGCGGTTTCTGGTGATTGGTATTAGAGGAACACTCACGTTTCGGGGTCAGACTCTCTGTAACTCCTCACAGCGCATCCGCCCTAACGATAAAGGATGCTGCTGGCCTCACAGTCATCCGCTCCACTCTCATACCTTTCTCACATAAACACCTCCATCTTGAGATGCCCAGTGACTTTACGTGATCCACTCTGGCTTGGGTTGCCCCCTGTCTGGCCAATAGAAGGTCTTACCCGTCATTGAGTAGCCACTCGTGCCCACTGGTGACCGCTCTTTCCCATCACAGGCTGTTTGCTTTAACAGAACTCAGCTGTTTTCTAGAGCTTAGGAAAGGCACGTTCAAGAGTCACCAGAGCCATTCCGATTGCCTAATAGTGTTCACATAGGGAGACAGGTCAAAAACAACAGTATTTAATCACTTAAATCCATTAACTATCTTAAAAGCAGCAACCTAGCTACTTGGATTATACTCAGTGAATTTAGATCACAACCGTACATTCAGTGTACTTTTCCGTCTGCCCCTCCCCCGTTTCATGGTGGGGACTAAGATCAGACAAAGAAGTTACGGGTCCTAAAATAACCTAATCAAAGATGTCACTACAAATAGCTTATTATCACTTATGACACCGACTCAGGTAACAGCTTTTAGCTGACATTGACTGAGAGAGAGACATTGAATGAGGGAGGGACTGGTACACTGCACTCTGAACGTCTAACTTTATCTACCATCTTTTAACTCTATCCCAGCTTAAGGCATCTTTGCCAGATATTACATACGGTTTCAAATAAACATATTATTTATATTTGTCTTTTGCCCACACATCAGGAAATTTAGGCATTACAAATTTCCACTCAGATTGAGTCTGTTGCACTGGCAGTTTCAGCCACAGCACACATCAGATTCAGATAAGCAAACTGTTTCATTACAGCCAATAACAAACTTATCTTTTGAAAGCAAAACATCAGCTTCTAGTTCTTTCATGGTCAACTTTTCAAGCTGTTTGTTTAATCAGCATTTAGCAACTGTTAATCCAGTACTGCTTCTGCTTATTTGTTCTTACATAAAAATAATTATTCTAGTTCTCAATAACGTTTCACATTTCTCAATCTCAATTTTAATTGTCAAGTTCTCAACCATAGTTTAATATTTGACTTAAGATTTCTCTTGGAGTTTATCAATCTCCAATTAGGATTCACACACTAAGTTTGACGAGGCAAGCACTCTCTGCTTGTGATACTTTTGCAGTTATTGTAAATCATCTGTGAGATTAGTCTCTCTATATCATCTAAAACCTTTTTAAAATGTTGAATTACAACACAATCATCCTTTTAGTTACTTTGATATATTTTGCAACTCACATTTGTTGGAGTCATTAATTTTACATCAACCTGTATTCATCAATTCAC